TATGGACCTCCGTTGTGCATGTTTTCTGCTGGAAGTACACCTGTTGCATGTAAATACCTTAGATGCACGTTTCAGCACCTTAGGACCTTTTAAATTGTGTCCCAGTCTACTATGAAAGTTTTGGAGTGACTGAAGAGTTCAAGCTGTCTTTCTCCAATAACTACCATCAGCACCATGGAACTTTAGGGGTTCTCTACATGTAGACAGCACAGACCGTCTTATAGTCTATGCTACATGATGTTTAATGCTAGGAGCTGAAGTACATTGTGTAGAGGAGCTCAGCTTTTTTTTCCAAATCCAACACACTGTACAGAGATCTTGGTTCTTGCTTAGCCCAACCCTAGCACCCAACAACCCTTTGTGGATTTTTTGTTGTTTCAACTAATTTGATGTCTACCATATCAATCCACTAAAAGTGCTGCATGTCTACACACACATCTTTCTCTCTAGAATAGGCACAGAATTCTCAGGAGATTATTAGAACCAGAAGAAGAGATCTGGGGTTTAGTAAGGTACTAAGGTGTCATGACCATTGCATAGGTAATATCAGAAAAATATATAATTTATTTGACATACAATTGCATAAATATAATAAATCAGATACAAATTGAAACTAATATAATATAATAACATTTTATTCTATTTATGTAAGGACAGCTGAACAGCCCTGAAGGGCTTAGCTGACTTGAGGGTATGAAACGGAATTATCCTTATCTATTTTTAAAAGTATTCAGGAGCCCTTCTAGAATATGCAACAGTTTGGAGGGTTTTTAATGTTGCAAATGCTGGACACAATTATTGCACAGTTTCGAATTTATATGAAATGTCTCAAAACATGAGCAGTGAGTCGCAAACATTAATGTGTCGCCAGGACAATTAAAAAAGCACAACAGAAATGTTGGGGTTAGTTAGCATGAGATTTGGTCTTTGCAACTAATCATTTTGTCGAAAACGCATTCATTTTATTTATTCCAGAGATGTAAACAACAGCATGCATAAGCCAAGCATACTGTGCTTTGATTCCTATGGCGTTGAGGAGGAAGAGAGGCAGCTCATAATACAGAGGGGTGGTGGGGTCCCCAGTAGGGCTATCAGCGATGGGGGAGGCAGGGAGTGTCAACAGTGAGGCAGGGAGTGTCAACAGTGCTAGCTGCTTGGGGTCTCCATCTGTGGCATGGAGGAGACTTTGGGAAAGAGGAGGGGGCAGGGCCACCGGGATAATCCCAATAGGCGGCGACCTGTGTGGTGAAGTGTCCACTCAGAAACCCCAGGTGACCCCTATACTTCCCATGGGGACCTATAGAAGAACATGAATGTGTGCCGAAAGACATCCATCAGGTGAACTACACCAGGCTGCAGTTTTGTGACTCTAACTTGAGGGGGTCCCAGGGGACTGATGACTTTAATGTGAACCGGGACTCTGATGTTAAGGGGATTCCTGACGTGAGCAGGGAATGCAAGATGTTAAGGGAGAGCCCTGATCTCCTTAGACCCCCCCCCTAACATTAAAGTGCCCCCTTCACATCTGGCACCCTCTTCACATCTGGCACCCCCCTTCACATAAGGAGCCACCTTCACATCAGAAGCCCTGACACACCTTAAGTGAAGGGGGTGCTAGATGTAAAGGGAGGGCTCCTGATGTTAAGGGTGCTCTAAAGGGGGATTCTGGTTTGAAGGGAAGGTTTCAGATATGAAGTTTAATTATTATCATATTCATTTATCTGCAGGCTACACCATGTTTAGCCTTCTATTTGGCCACCATGCACTACATGCATTGCTTTTATGCCACTGCTTCCACTTTAGTGTATTGTAAATGCTATAATTAGTGAGTTGAAGGAAAAACTGGCAAATCCCTGTCCCTATAGCCTATAACAATCAACACTGGAAGACCATCTAGTTGTTGGTTCCAGTGCTTGGTACACAAAAACTGACCATTCAGATATAAGGATTCACACAGAGGACTATTATATATGCATGACTATGCCAAAATAACAAATAACAGCAGATATTACTGTCTTACTATGTGAAGGGATCACAAATAAGATATCTGAACTATTCCTAGAAGTTCCTATACAGAGAACCATACAGGTGTGAACATTTTAACCTACATTTCAGGAGTCAGCCGTTCTAGGAGCCCCGGTCATGTTTAAACACTTCCTCGGTCACATATTCAGTAGAAAATACTCCATAGTTTTTAAAGTGTAACTATAGCGAAACCTTTTTTTTGTTTTAGACAGAGTAGGGAAACGTTTCTCAACCTGTGTATGCCAAATCTCGAGGCACCCCTAAAAGGTAAAAACTGTAACAAACTATGTGCAGTCCCTACAAAATCCTACCAGACCCCATGCAAAAACACAAAAAAGTGTCATTCCTATCTTCACATTAGGGGTTCCATTTACATCAAGCCCCCCTCCCCTTTACATCAGTAGCCCCCCCCTTTACATAAGGAGCCCCCCCTTCTTTAACATCAGAGTCACCCCCATTTACACTAGGAGCCTCCTTCACATCAGAACCTTCTTTTCACATCAGAGTCTCCCTCTTTCTCATCAGGAGCCTTCTTCACATCAGAGGCATGACGCTGTGTGAAAATTGCAAGGCACCCCTGAAGAGGACAGAAGGCAGTCTGGTTCAGAAAGGCTGCAGTAGGGAAGGGTTAAAACCCCTGCCAGTTTATTTATTCATTTTTGCTGTCTTTGTACCATTGGTGAAATTTCCCTTCAATCCTGTCCCAGAGACACAACAAGAAGTTAAAGGAAATTTCCCAAATTGAAGGGACTTAGTTGTCCCCAGAACAGGTGTCCCCATTAGAAGTTTTAGCCTCACCTCTTGTTCTGGGGACAACTCTAAAGTTTCGAATTTCCCTTCACTTTCTTTCTCAGTGACAATGGTCACCTATACAAAAAGAGGGGTGGATCTCCCCAATAGGGACATAAACAGCAATCAAAACTTGGCAGGGAGTCGAAGCCATCCTATTCTATCCAAAACTAATACATAAATAATAATAATAATAATAATTAATAATTTAATAATAATTTAAATAATAATAATTAAAACAAATAAAAAAAGGGTTTGCCTAAACAAAATACTCGTCAAGGGCTTCTTTTATAAATGTTTTGCCTGGAATACAGCTGGATGGATGCCACTCGCATGGCACTAATGCCCCTAGATGGCATAGGAAATTCCTTTACTGGGGCACTAGTGCTGTGCGAACCAAACTTTTATTAATGAACCCCTAGCTAATATTTCCCTATTTTGTGATTTGCCCTCTATCTTTGTTCTAGTTCAACACCTTTTACTATAAATATCCTAATATTCAGATGGAAGCCTACCTAATTTATTAAAAACACACACAGGTTTTTCCCACCAAGCTCTTAACTTAGACTGTCCAGACACTTTATGAATTTTTTTCATTCAGCCCCGCAGAAAAAAAAAACCCCACTCTGACCCTTATCCACACTAAACAGCATGATGAGGGAATCCCCCCTGCTGAATATTGTATAAGAATACCCAAACTGTGGCTGCAGCTGATTAGCTAAGGTCACTGTTTGGCTAACAATTTCCACCCGGCTCCTTTGACAATCAGCAGGAATCAGCCGAAATTTGATAGGTGCATGGCCAGCTTTAGTGTATGTTAATCCTGTAACCACACTTCCTCGCTATTGCTCTGCTTGTCTTACAGCTGACATTCAATGTGTGCACACTTGACAGTTACTAAAACGATGCACTGTTCTAATAAATGTCAGCTTTGAACGTTTCTAAGAAGGCAGAGGCAGCATGACCTGTCACGCGCAGTATGATAAAATGATGAGGAATACTTGCAAGGGATCAGTGTCTTAAAGGACCCTGTACTGAGAAACACCAGGAGGCAGTCATTCCTGATCTTTCATTCTAGAAACACTAGTTGTTGTCTGTCATGCGAATCCAAAGGCTTCAATACTTGCATCGTTCTAATGTATTTGCATGTTAGTAATGTTGACTTTACTGACCTCTTACAGGGCAGGTCAGTGGCTCAGAATAAAAAATAAATAAATAAATATAATAATTAAAAAAATCTTTTAAAAATCAAAATAAAAACG